AGTGTGTGTGGAGCAACACTTGGTGTAATGTGTGGGCAACACTTGGTATAGTGCGTGGAGCAACACTTGGTGTAGTGTGGAGCAACACTTGGTGTAGTGTGTAGACAACACTTGGTGTAGTGTGTGAGCAACACTTTGTGTGTGGAGCAACACTTGAGTGTATGTGTGTGGAGCAACACTTGGTGTAGTGTGTGGAGCAACACTTGGTGTAGTGCGTGTGGAGCAACACTTGGTGTGGGTGTGTGTGGAGCAACACTTGGTGTAGTGTGTGTGGAGCAACACTTGGTGTAGTGTGTGGAGCAACACTTGGTGTAGTGTGTGGGCAACACTTGGTGTGGTGTGTGGGCAACACTTGGTGTAGTGTGTGGGCAACACTTGGTGTGGTGTGTGGAGCACACTTGGTGTAGTGTGTGGAGCAACTTAGGGTGTGTGGTGTGTGGGCAACACTTGGTGTAGTGTGTGTGGAACAACACTTGGTGTGTAGTGTGTGTTGAGCAACACTTGGTGTAGTGTGTGGAGCAACACTTGGTGTAGTGAGCAACACTTGGTTGAATATTTGGAGCAACACTTGGTGTAGTGTGTGGAGCAACACTTGGTATAGTGTGTGGAACAACACTTGATGTGTGTGGAGCAACACTTGGTGTAGTGTGTGGAGCAACACTTGTGCAGTTCGTGGAACAACACTTGGTGTAGTGTGTGGAGCAACACTTGGTGTAAGTGTGTGTGAGCAGCAACACTTGCTGTAGTGTGTGGAACAACACTTGGTGGAGTGTGTGGAGCAACACTTGGTGTGTGTGTGGAGCAACACTTGGTGTAGTGTGTGTTTGGAGCAACACTTGGTGTAGTGTGTGAAGCAACACGGTGTAGTCAATGTTTGAATAACACTTGGTGCTAGTGTGTGTGAGCAACACTTGGTGTAGTGTGTGTGAAACACTTGGAGTAGTGTGTGTGTGAAGCAACATGATTATGAATGTGTGTGAAGCAACACTTGGTGTAGTGTGTGTGTGTGAAGCAACACTTGGTGTAGTGTGTGTGAAGCAACACTTGGTGTAGTGTGTGTGTGAAGCAACACTTGGTGTAGTGTGTGTGTGAAGCAACACTTGGTGTAGTATGTGTAAGCAACACTTGTGTGTAATGTGTGTGGAGCAAACTTGGTGTATGTGTGACAACACTTTATGTGTGTGTGGAGCACACTTGGTGTAGTGTGTGTGACACGCTGTAGTGTGTGTGGAGCAACACTTGGTGCAGTGTGTGTGAAACAACACTTGGAGTAGTGTGTGTGTGAAACAACACTTGGTGCAGTGTGTGTGAAGCAACACTTGGTGTGTGTGTGTGTGAAGCAACACTTGGTGTAGTGTGTGTGAAGCAACACTTGGTGTAGTGTGTGTGGAGCAACACTTGGTGTAGTGTGTGTGAAGCAACTTACTTGGTGTAGTGTGTGTGAAGCAACACTTGGTGTAGTGTGTGTGTGTGTGAAGCAACACTTGGTGTGAATGTGTGTGTGGAGCAACACTTGGTGTGAATGTGTGTGAAGCAACATTTGGTGTAGTGTGTGTGGAGCAACACTTGGTGTAGTGTGTGTGAAGCAACACTTGGTGTAGTGTGTGTGTGAAGCAACACTTGGTGTAGTGTGTGTGTGAAGCAACACTTGGTGTAGATGTGTGTGGAAGCAACACTTGGTGTAGTGTGCGCTGCTTGGTGTAGTGTGTGTGAGCACACTTGGTGTAGTGTGTGTGAAACAACACTTGGTGTAGTGTGTGTGTGTGAAGCAACCTTGGTGTAGTGTGTGTGTGTGAAGCAACACTTGGTGTAGTGTGTGTGAAGCAACACTTGGTGTATGTGTGTGGAAACAACCTGTGTAGTGTGTGTGAAACACTTGTGTAGTGTGTGTGGAGCAACACTTGGTGTAGTGTGTGTGTGAAGCAACACTTGGTGTAGTGTGTGGAGCAACACTTGGTGTAGTGTGTGTGAAGCGCACTTGGTGCTGTGTGTGTGAGAAGCAACCTTGGTGTAGTGTGTGTGTGAAGCAACACTTGGTGTGAGTGTGTGGAGCAACACTTGGTGTAGTGTGTGTGGAGCAACACTTGGTGTAGTGTGTGTGAAGCAACACTTGGTGTAGTGTGTGTGGAGCAACACTTGGTGTAGTGTGTGTGGAGCAACACTTGGTGTAGTGTGTGTGTGAAGCAACAATTGTAGTGTGTGTGTGTGAAGCACACTTGGTGTATGTGTGTGAAGCAACACTTGGTGTAAGTGTGTGTGAAAGCAACACTTGGTGTAGTGTGTGTGTGGAGCAACACTTGGTGTAGTGTGTGTGAAGCAACACTTGGTTGTAGTGTGTGAAACCTTACTTGGTATGAATGTGTGGAGCAACACTTGGTGTAGTGTTTGTGAAGCAACACTTGGTGTAGTGTGTGTGTGAAGCAACACTTGGTGTAAGTGTGTGTGTGGAGCAACACTTGGTGTAGTGTGTGGAGCAACACTTGGTGTGGTTGTGTGGAGCAACACTTGGTGAGTGTGTGTGGAGCAACCCTTGGTGGTGTGTGTGGAGCAACACTTGGTGTAGTGTGTGTGTGAAGCAACCCTTGTGAATGTGTGTGTGAAACAACACTTGGTGAAATGTGTGTGTGAAGCAACACTTGGTGTAGTGTGTGTGTGAAGCAACACTTGGTGTAGTGTGTGTGTGAAGCAACACTTGTAGTTAATGTGTGTGTGAAGCAACACTTGGTGTATGTGTGTGTGAAGCAACACTTGGTGTAGTGTGTGTGTGGAGCAACACTTGGTGTAGTGTGTGTGGAAACACTTGGTTGTAGTGTGTGTGAAGCAACACTTGGTGTAGTGTGTGTGGAGCAACACTTGGTGTAGTGTGTGTGAAGCAACACTTGGTGTAGTGTGTGTGTGAAGCAACACTTGGTGTAGTGTGTGTGTGGAGCAACACTTGGTGTAGTGTGTGGAGCAACACTTGGTGTAGTTGTGTGGATCAACACTTGGTGTGAGTGTGTGGAGCAACACTTGGTGTGATGTGTGTGGAGCAACACTTGGTGTAGTGTGTGTGTGAAGCAACACTTGGTGTGAATGTGTGTGTGAAGCAACACTTGGTGTAATGTGTGTGTGAAGCAACACTTGGTGTAGTGTGTGTGGGCAACACTTGGTGTAGTGTGTGTGTGGAGCAACACTTGGTGTAGTGTGTGTGAAGCAACACTTGGTTGTAGTGGGACTGATGGCTGAAGGTAACACAGATGACGTAGTACACAGGGACCGAGATAATAGTAAAGTACTGAAGCTGAACACCGTCCGCCCCAACTCTGAGAGAAGACGTGTTGTTCGGCCAAGAGAAAACAGAAATTAAGTTTTGCTCAAAATCATTTTATAGGTAATCCTTAAAATGCTGATGACGGATCTGTGGCAGAAAAAATTTAATTTTGGTAATTAGTTTTCCTAATGACTTGGAGTCATCAGTGTTATTTTGGTCGAAAAACACTTTACTTCTTGGAATAATAAGTTAACATGTTTAAGCGCTACAGTTCATCTAGAACAACATAAAACAAATCGCCTTTGGAAAAGCACAGATGTCGAGTTGAAAACTAATTAAATTTTCTTAAGTCATTATGACAAGTGCCGGTAATTGCCAAAATTTCTCTTTCGACCTTAGATCCTCAATCAACTATCTTCACTGACAGTTTAAAATATAAAATAAATGAATGTTACGTCCCAGACTCCGCGGTGCTGGTGCAGTGACCGAACAGAGTCAGTCTCAGGTGTTATTCGAGTCGTACTTGGGTGAGGCGGTGTACAGTAAGTTTTGGATCAAATTATTTTTTAAACAGATTCAGTTTACGAACACAAGTTAATTTTACTTTTGTCAGTCTCTTATACAAAATTTATTGTCTTATGTGCAATAAAATTTATGCCCTCAGTGTGTGATGAGCATAACAACAATATAATACATATAATTACTCCTCCTTCTCTTCTACCCTCCCTTCCTTCTTCCTTTCTCCCCATCACCATCCATCTCTTCATCCTCCATTTACTCACATACTCAGTACTCCCTTCTGTTCCTCTTCCTCCTCCCCCCCCCGGCTTCTTGCATCTTCCCCCTGTCTCCTTCCCTTCCTCCTGTTCTACCCCCCTCCTTTAAGGACCCCCGCAGCGCCACACCAGCTGTCGCACCTCCACCAACGTCGCTGAGTAATTGGACTTAACGAGCGAGGGAGGATGTGTGGTTGTGTGTGTGTGTGTGTGTGTGTGTGTGTGTGTCAGCAACTAGTTACTAGTCCTTGATGCAGGTTGTCTTCCTCTAACACTGGTAACGTTAGATACTCATTAACGCCAGTAACATTAACTTGGATTATAATAACATTAATGTAACTATTTAATAATGCTGGTAACGCTATTTATTCGTTAACGCTGGCAGCCTGCCACTAACGCTGGCAACCTGCCACTAACGCTGGCAACCTGCCACTAACGCTGGCAACCTGCCACTAACGCTGGCAACCTGCCACTAACGCTGGCAACCTGCCACTAACGTTGACAGCCTGCCACTAACGCTGGCAACCTGCCACTAACGCTGGCAACCTGCCACTAACGCTGGCAGCCTGCCACTAACGCTGGCAACCTGCCACTAACGCAGGCAGCCTGCCACTAACGCTGGCAGCCTGCCACTAACGCTGGCAACCTGCCACTAACGCTGGCAACCTGCCACTAACGCTGGCAACCTGCCACTAACGTTGACAGCATGCCATTAACGATAGTACCACTAACTAATAAATATTCACGAGATAAAAACAGTGCGAGTGGCACCGTAACGTTTAGCGAGTCATTTGTTTCAGTGTGAGTAAATGCAGTAATGGAGCGGAGTGGACTACCAGCACACAAATATTACCTCCACGGGCTGCTGGTGGCTGCAGGTTATGTTTATTTAACTGTTTTAAGTCTACATTAATCTTTTTTTGTTTAATTACCTAGTTTTTTACAGGCTGTTTACAGTCACTTTATTTAACAATATGGAAACATTGGATATTATAATTGAAAACCTAAGTACTATTTTTTATGGACCTACTCGGACTCGAGGACTCCTTGGTGCGAAGTTTGCAGACGGAAGTAATCTCATTAACCTTATGCTGGGCAAACAGCACGATGAGTGTGATGTTCCACATACTGAGTGGGAACTTGACGCCGCCCTCGCCAGATGTAGGTCTACTGCCCCTGGAGAGGACGGAGTCATCTACAATATCGTGTGCCAGGCAATCCATTGTTAGCATTGTACAATGTGAGTCATGCCGAGGGCCAACTACCCACATCATGGACCAGCAGTATTGTTGTACCAATACCGAAACCAGGACAGCCTGATGCTTTTCGTCCCATATCACTAACCAGCTGCCTGTGTAAAATCTTTGAGAGGATGGTTCTTGGCAGACTCTTATATAGAATCAGAGAACACATGTCTCCTAACATAAATGACTTCACCCATGGTAAAGGTGTGCATAATTGCACCACTACACTTTTTACTGTACAGTACATGGTGATGAAAAACACAGATACACCACATATCTTGACCAAAAAGCTGCATTTGATATTACCAAAAGGCAACTTATATTGTACGAACTAGCCAAAATGGATATAGGAGGTCGTCTCTTACACCGGATAAGTGGTTACCTCACCAACAGAAGAGCTGCTGCACTGTTTCAGGGTTAAAAAAAATGAAGTTAAAGATATGCAACTTGGCACCCTCAAGGTGGAGTACTTAGTCCTACATTGTTCAATGTTCTTACGAATGCAATATTAAATTCAATACCAGACAGACCCAGCAATATCACAATCAGCTATGCTGATGATATTCTTGTACATATTAAATCTCATCGTGAAATGCAAACCACCCTGAACCATGTACACACAGCCAGTGAGACTCCGTCTTATTATCCCCACTGAGAAAACTAAAGTGTTCAACAAACAAGCTGGTAAACGCGAACGCGGCCCCGCCAAGCTCAAGATAGGTAACAACACTATTGACTATGTCTCTTCTTTTAAATATCTTGGTGTCTCCGTTCCATGTACAGTCTCACCCAAAAGCTCGTTTACTCTCCCAGCCAGCTATTGCTGCACTGCCTGCTTCAAACGTTTGAAACTGTCCCAGTACCAACCAGAACATGAAACCGATACGAATGAATCTAAAGGTTCGAAGTCACAGACTCAAGTTCATACATCTGAAGCAGGCAGTGCAGCAATAGCTGGCTGGGAGGGTTAACGAACTTTTGGGTGAGACTGTACCTTACCTGCCATACAACAGATAACCCGCCAATGTACTGACAGACTGAAACCTCTTAGAAGTGTAGCGGGGTACAGCCCACATTATGGTGCTAATATTAGAATTTTTTAAACAATGTACCTAGTCTATATAAGATCTCTGATAGATTGCCACGCACCAGCCCTGGTCGAAAAAATGCAAAATAAAGCCATCAGAATTATCCTAGGCTGTCCCATGAGCACTAAAGAACCTAATATGAGGAAAAAACTACTGTAGGTTCACCCAGTGTCAGACATAGAATAATTGAAGTCAACTTCATGGTAGCCCTGAAGATTTTGCGTGGTAATCCTGAAAACATTGTTTCCTTAAAATTGCTAGAATGTATGAACCATGGGACTGGTGAATCTAATTGGATCCAGAATGGATACAGAATGGATATAGAATCCTTGGAAAGAATTCAGAGGAGAATGACAAGACTAATCCCGGACATTAGGAACCTTGAGTACAGAGACAGGTTAAAGCATCTTAATTTACACTCCCTCGAGAGACGTAGAGTGAGGGGCGATATGATAGAGGTGTATAAATGGAAGTCAGGGCTGAACAAAGGGGATATTACAAAGGTACTCAAACTCTCCAACCAGGAGCGAACTCGTAACAATGGTTTTAAATTTGACAAATTTAGATTTAGGCGCGAAATGGGTAAACATTGGTTTGGATATAGAGTAGTGGACGAGTGGAACAAGTTACCAAATATCATCATTAACTCGAATACGCTGGATAGCTTCAAACATAGGTTGGATGGATACATGAGCGATAGGGGTTGGGTGTAAATGGGACTGCCCAGTATGGTCCAATAGGTCCGCTGCAGTTTACTCCATGCTTTTGTTCTTGTGTCCAAACTACAGCTACACATATGAAGATGTTTGGACTAGACCACCTGCACAAAGTTGAGACACAACAGCACTTCCTTCCACCCTGGCGGACAGTTCCCTTCGACATCACAATACCGACATATCCGCCAAAAAAATTAATTATACAAATTATTTATCTCCAACACACTGCCAAAGTGAGAGCTCTTGAACGCATACACACTCTACAGACTGATGATAATATCACACAGACCATCTACACTGATGGATCTCTTAACACTGCCACCGTTGTGACTCAACCTAACGGTAATGTTATTGAAAAAGGTAGCCCTGTCTACACCCAACCCCTATCGCTCATAATTATATCTGTCCAACCTATATTTGAAGCTAGCCAGCGTGTTCAAATTAACGATGAGGTTCGGTGACTTGTTTCAATCATCCACTACTCTATTTTACAAACCTGAAACGGCTAATAAAAAATAAATTCTAGTCACCTGACCTAACCACATGAATACACGTAAGTATACAAAATTCACATTGCTCAAATTATTCACTTTTACGGTTTTTCCCGCCTTTTGGTTTCATAAAATCGCCAAAAAGCTCAAATATGGGAAATGTAGAAAGGTGTTCAGGTGTACGGTAGTCAGGTATACGGTAGTCAGGTGTATGGTAGTAAGGTGTACGGTAGTAAGGTGTACGGTAGTCAGGTGTACGGTAGTCAATAGGTGACCTTGACTTGAAGAAGAGATACATAAAGGTTAATTATTTAGACGATACAAGGAGGAAGAAGAGGAAGAAGAGAAGAGAAAGAAGAAAGAAGAGGAAATAGGAAGAAGATGAAATAAGAAGAAGAGGAAGGGAAAAATAAAAGGAACAGAAGTAGAAGAAACGAAGAAGAAGAAAAAGAAGAAAAGAAAGAAGAGGGATACAAAAAAGAAGATAAAACTAAGTGAAATAAGCTTTGGGGGGACTAATCTTCAGGTGATCCAATAATTTCTAATGATATGAATTTTAGTGACCAGCATCAGAGGACTAAATTATCTGACCTCACACTCGTACCAGAGATAATCGACGCCATAGTTACCACACTCACAGTTGTTTATAATGTTCAGGTAAAGACAGTGATTTGTTTCCTCCGCCACCGCCATAATGCACAGGTGTATTAGACGATACCGACCGACTAAAAATGATCTTACTAACGAAGGTACAGAGAAAAGGCAGATATTTTAATAAAGAAGAACACAGGAGGAGTGGCATTCTTAACGGTGGCTAACGTGACTCAGAATAAATCATTCGTCGCCAGAGAGAGAGAGAGAGAGAGAGAGTCCGTTTTCTGTGACTGCCACAAGAGTTGGGTTTGTTTACATGTCAGGTGTGTGGTGTAGACTGCCCCAGCGGTACACATTATTGCGCCTGTGCCACTCACCTCCCTTCACTTCCTCCTCCGTCTGAATAAACCGGACTGAGGTAAGGAGGACGCTAACCTAACCTAACCTTACCGAACCTAACTTTCCTAATATAACTTAAACTAACGCTACCTGGGGGTTAGATTAGATTAGAATAGATTAGGTTAGGTTTGGTTAGTTTAGCGTTAGTTTAGGTTAAGTTTGGTTGGGTTAGCTGGGTGTTCGGGCATCTAAACATCAGGTAAAATAAACTAATTTTCACGTAATCTAATCTTCTTTATCGGGTTAATAGAGATAAGAGAAAGTCACGGTAGGTTAGGTCAGGTCAGGTTAGGTTAGGTCAGGTCAGGTTAGGTCAGGTTAGGTTAGGTCAGGTTAGGTTAGGTTAGGTTAGGTTAGGTCAGTTTTGCTTGACTTCTGTTAAGACCAGAGGCCTATTTAACCAGTTAACAGAGACCAGTCACAGTTAATGAAAAGGCGTTACAAAAACTCCTTCACAGATCAGTGTGAAATAGGGTGAAGAATATGGGTTAAGAATTAATGCTGTAAACACTAAAGTAATGGTTGTTTACAAATTGAAAATAAATCCGAAGATAATTATTAAGGCAGTCAACAGGGGACTTAAACAAGTGGAATTGTTTTTGTTAAGTAACATTATTTGCGATGGTAGATGTACGGAAGAAATTAAAACATGAATACGGCAAACAGAATCAGCATAATCTAAAAGACCAATGAAAATGGACATTAACTTCACTTTGAGAAAAAGGCTCCGTGAAAGGCTTTAATATGGACACTGAGCCGACACCAGAAAGAGGTTGGAGGCCTTTGAAATGTGGTGTTGTAGCCGCATGTTAAGAATAAGCTACACTAACAGGTAAACAAATGAAGAAGTACTAGAATTACATAAACCTCAAGATAAACACTTGAAATGTATAGAAAAAAAAGATACACTTTGGTTATATAATTAGGAATGAGGAGATAATAACAGAAATATTAATGATCAAAGTTGAGGGTAGGAGGGCCAGGGGAAGGCAGAGACTGGGATGGGTAAATTAAATTAAAAACTTGGTCCCCAGAGAGATACAAAACCTTAGAGGATTGGTAGAAACAGCCTGAGAACGTTTAGAGTGGAGGACTGTGGTCACCAACCCTCAGATGTGAGGACCGTACTCTGACGGATTGAGTCACCAGTCTCTCTCTCTCTCTCTCTCTCTCTCTCTCTCTCTCTCTCTCTCTCACACACACACACACACACACACACACAGATCAAACTCGTCTTAAAAGAATCAACATCTTTACCTCTCAAACGGTCAGACGAGTGCCACACAATACCTCAAAATGTGACGCCATATACAGAAGTAGTCATTCTCTCACCGTCGTAGCTCACCCCACCTCGTAAACCTGGCCTACACGACCAGCACAGGTATTGGATGGTGCAACTCTCTCTCTCTCTCTTTCTCTCTCTCCTGCCATCACACGGTCGTCACATGTAGTCCAGCAGAGATGAGAACAGCTGAGGCGATAACATTGATTTATACATAAAGTTAGTTGTGTTTGGCTCAGCCTCTGAAGCCACGATCAATATGTCCCCGCCTCCTCCTCCTCCCCCCCACAGTCATGACAACAAGCGGTGGATGATGTTTTGCGGGACGGTCTGAAGATAAGCTTCTGTGTACCTTGAGAGAGAGAGAGAGAGAGAGAGAGAGAGAGAGAGAGAGAGAGAGAGAGAGAGAGAGAGAGAGAGAGAGAGAGAGAGAGAGACAGAGTGACAGACAGACACACACAAACAAAATCAGACACACAGACAGACAGGCAAGCAATAACAAAATCAGACTGGCAAACAGGCAGACACCCAAACTGAAAGAGATAGACGGATAGAAAAACAGACGAACAGAGAAAAAGACAGACGAGAGAGAGAGAGAGAGAGAGAGAGAGAGAGAGAGAGAGAGAGAGAGAGGTGTTATTGGGGCTCAACAAAGACCCTTCCTCTAAAAAACACAAACACCAGGGGATGGTACAAGCAGTTCCTCAAGCGGTACGCCAGGCGCTCTTGATTGCTTGTGCTGGTGATAGTTTTTATGGTAGGGAACCAAGGCAGCAGGTGGGGGAGGCAGATACCGCCATACTTTATTTACCTCGACAGCTGTTTCATTACATATTATTTATACATTGTCACAGCTTTATTAATACACCCCTGTATAAATAAATAAAACAGCCTTGTGATATAGAAAAAATACTTTCAATTCGCTATGATCAATATTTTATTTTGATTCACTTTCAATGGATTCATTATTATTCACTATGTTGTTACGGGGTTATTTAAGTGTTTTTTTTTATAATATATGAACGGCAGCTCGCTGTTATTGTTCACATAATGTCCGTCATTCATTTATGTCGTCGTATTTCTTGCGGTAGTCGATATTATACATATATTTCAAGATATATATTCACAGTGATATATACCCCAACCTCAGGTGTACCTGGACGACGCCCCGATACACTGCCACACTTTGGGCTGTTTTTAACACTCATAACTATTGTGTTCCTTAACCATATTCCTTGATACTCCACTATACAGTTAGGGTGGACATAGTGAAGGTTAGTCTCTAGAACTATACTATACTATACTATACTATACTATACTATACTATACTATACTATACTATACTATACTATACTATACTATACTATACTATATATACTATACTATACTATACTATATATATATACTATAATATACTATACATATACTATACTATACTATACTATTATACTATACTATACTATACTATACTATACTATACTATACTATACTATACTATACTATACTATACTATACTATACTATACTATACTATACTATACTATACTATACTATACTATACTATACTATACTATACTATACTAACTATACTATATATATATTATACATTATACTACACTACACTATACTATACTATACTATACTATACTATACTATACAACATGAAGACACCAAACAATCGTCAACGACATTATCATTATTTATTTACATTAAAACAAACACTTTACCAGGTGATGTATAACTGTGTGTGTCTGGTAACTATTCGGCGCTATATCGGTATCTGATATTCGCCCAGTTAGTTCACTTCCTTCAGTATTGATTTCGACAGTCAACTTTAAGCCACAACACAGAAGACTTAATATTATGAGACACTGTGGTTTAGAAATTCAAAAACATTCTTGCTTTAATTTAAATAAATCTTTAATCATTAGAATATCAAGGCAGACAGCTGTGTTCAGGTGCCAAGGTCAGGGCCAGGCAGGCTACTGGTGCCAGGGTCAGGGCCAGGCAGGCTACTGGTGCCAGGGTCAGGGCCAGGCAGGCTACTGGTGCCAGGGTCAGGGCAGGCAGGCTACTGGTGCCAGGTCAGGCCAGGCAGGCTACTGGTGCCAGGGTCAGGCCAGGCAGGCTACTTGCCAGGGTCAGGGCCAGGCAGGCTACTGGTGCCAGGGTGCTCAGGCCAGGCAGGCTACTGGTGCCAGTCAGGGCCAGGCAGGCTACTGGTGCCAGCGCCAGGCCAGCAGGCTACTGGTGCCAGGTGCCGGGTCACAGCCAGGCAGGCTACTGGTGCCAGGTCAGCCAGGCAGGCTACTGGTGCCAGGTCAGGCCAGGCCGCACCGATGACAAGCAAGTCAGGCCGTTAGGCCAGGCCGTGGGTCAGGCCAGGCAGGCTACTGGTGCCAGGGTCAGGCCAGGCATACTGGTGCCAGAGTCAGGCCAGGCAGGCTACTGGTGCCAGGGTCAGGGCCAGGCAGGCTGTCAAGCTGGGTCAGCCGGCTACTGGTGCCAGGTCAGGCCGCTACACATACCAAGGGTCAGGGCCAGCCAGGCTACTGGTGCCAGGGTCAGGCCAAGCAGGCTACTGGTGCCAGGGTCAGGGCCGCCAGGCTACTGGTGCAGTCAGGGCCAGGCAGGCTACTGGTGCCAGGAGTCAGCGCCAGGCGGGTACTGATACCAAGGTCAGGCCAGGCAGGCTACTGGTGCCAGGGTCAGGCCAGGCAAGCTACTGGTGCCAGGTCAGGCAGGCAGGCTACTGGTGCCAGGTCAGGGCCAGGCAGGCTACTGGTGCCAGGTCAGGTCGAGCTACTGGTGCCAGAGTCAGGCCAGGCCGGCTACTGATACCGAGGTCAGGCGGCAGGCTACTGGTGCCAGGTCAGGCCAGGCAGGCTACTGGTGCTAGGGTCAGGGCCAGGCAGGCTACTGGTCAGAGTCACGCCAGGCCGGCTACTGATACCGTCAGGGCTAGGCAGGCTACTGGTGTCAGGGTCAGGCCAGGCAGCTACTGGTGCTAGGTCAGGCCAGGAAAGCACTGGTGCGGTCAGCCGACCTAGTCCAGGTCAGGCCAAGCAGGCTACTGGTGCCAGGGCCAGGCAGGCTACTGGTGTCAGGCCAGGCCAGGCAAGCTACTGGTACCAGGTCAGGCCGCAGGCTACTGGTGCCAGGGTCAGGCCAGGCAAGCTACTGGTACCAGGGTCAGCCAGCAGGCTACTGGTGCCAGGGTCAGGCCAACCAGGCTACTGGTGCCAGGGTCAGGCAAGCTACTGGTGCCAGGCCAGCTACTGGTGCCAGAGTCAGGCCAGGCCGGCTACTGATACGTCGACCAGGCAGGCTACTGGTGCCTTAGTCAGGGCCAGCAGGCTACTGGTTCCAGGGTCAGGCCAGGCAAGCTACTGGTGCCAGAGTCAGGGCCAGGCAGGCTATTGGTGCCAGAGTCAGGGCCAGGCTTTTGTGCCAGGGTCAGGGCCAGGCAAGCTACAGGTGCCAGAGCCGGGCCAGGCCGGTTACTGAAAAAAAAGGCCAGAAGGCTACTGATACCAAGGTCAGGGCCAGGCAAGCTACTGGTGCCAGGGTCAGGGCCAGACTTACCCTGATGTTGTCATAACAGTAAAGGCAAACAAGGTCGTTACTGTAATGTCCAGTGTTGTTACGTGAGCCAAGGTAAGCACTGCCGCCCCAGACATATTTAAACAACTTCTGAAATACTGTCATCCACAACCACACTCAATACGTCATCCACTACCACAGTCAATACGTCATCCACTACCACACTCAATATGTCATCCACTACCACAGTCAATACGTCATCCACTAACACAGTCAATATGTCATCCACCTCTTACACAGTCAATACGCGTCAATTCACTAACACAGTTAAAGTCATCCACTACCACAGTCAATGCGTCATCCACTAACACAGTCAATATTTTCATCCACCAACACAAAGTCAATACGTCATCCACTACCAACACAGTTAATAAGTCAATTCATTAACACAAAGTCAAATAATACGTCATCCACTAAGACAGTTGGTCAAGTCATTCACTAACACAGACAATGTCATTCACTAACATAGCCTGTCACATATTCATTAACACAGTCACGTCAGTTATTAACACAGTTAATACCATCCACTAAGACAGTCAATAATGTCATCCACCAACACAGTCAATACGTCATCCATTAACACAGTCAATACGTCATCCACCAACACAAAGTCAATACGTCATCCACTATAACAGTCAATACGTCATCCACAACACGCAGTCAATACGTCATCCAATCAAACACAGTCAATACGTCATCCACCAACACAACAACACGTCATCCACCAACAGTCAATACGTCATCCAGTAACACAAAGTCAATATGTCATCCAGTAACACAGTCAATGGCCGTCATCCACTAACACAGTCAATACGTCATTCACTAACACAGTCACGCCGTCATCCAGTAACACAAAGTCAATACGTCATTCACCACAGTCAATACGTCAACCACTAACAGTCAATAATGTCATCCACAACACAGTCAATACGTCATCCACTCAACACAGTCAATACGTCATCCACCAACACAGTCAATACGTCATCCACCAACACAGTTAATAAGTCATCCACTAACACAGTCACGTCATCCACTACCACAGTCAATATCGCCAACACACTAACACAGTCAATACGTCATCCACTCAACACAAAGTCAATAATGTCATCCACTAACACAGTCAATAATGTCATCCACTAACACACAGTCAATATCGTCATCCACTAACACAGTCAATACGTCATCCACTACCACACAGTCAATACGTCATTCACTAACACAAAGTCAATACGTCACCGCACAGTCAATACGTCATCCAGTAACACAGGTCAACACGTCATCTCACACTAACACAGTCAATACGTCATCCGCAACACAGTCAATGTCATCCAGTAACACAGTCAATACGTCATCCACTAACACAGTCAATACGTCATCCACTACCACAGTCAATACGTCATCCACTAACACAAAGTCAATAATGTCATCAACACAAAGTCAATATGTCATCCACTAACACAGTCACGTCATCCACTAACACACTCAATATGTCATCCACTAACACAGTCATTGCGTCATCTCGTACACATCACGTACGTCATCCACTAACACAGCAATAAGTCATCCACTACCACACAGTCAATACGTCATCCACTAACACAGTCAATAAGCCGTCAATTCACTAACACAGTCAATAACACAGTCAATAGTAACGCCGAAGTCACGTCATCCACTGGCCCACCAGTCAATACCGTCATCCACCAACACAGTTCACACGTCATCCACCACCACAGTCAATACCGCCATCCACTCAACACACACACGTCATCCACTAACACAGTCAATACGTCATCCAGTAACAGTCAACACGTCATCCACTAACACAGTCAATGTCATCCAGTAACACAGTCAATACGTCATCCAGTAACACGTCACGTCATCCACTAACACAGCTCTACGTCGCCCTCACTACCACAGTCAACACGTCATCCACCAACGCAAAGTCAATAATACGTCATCCACTAACACAGTCAATATAAGCTTTTCCACTAACACAGTCACGTCATCCACCAACACAGTCAATGTCATCCACTAACACAGTCAATGCGTCATCCTGTAACACAGTCAATACGTCATCCACCAACACAGTCAATACGTCATCCACTAACACAGTCAATACGTCATCCACCAACACAGTCAATATGTTATCCTGTACACAGTCAATACGTCATCCACTAACAGCATTATGTCATCCACCAACACAGTCAATACGTCACCCACAGTCAATACGTCATCCACTACCACAGTCAATACGTCATCCACTACCAATACTAATATGTCATCCACTACCACAGTCAATATGTCATCCACTCAACACAGTCAGTCATGTCGTCCACTACCACAGTCAATACGCTCATCCACTAACACAATATGTCATCCACTAACACAGTCAATACCGCGTCATCCTCAACACAGTTAATAAGTCATCCACTAACACAGTCAATGTAATGTCATCTCAATTACCACAGTCAATAACATCCACTAACACAGTCAATACGTCATCCACCAACACAGTTAATAAAGTCATCCACTAACACAGTCAATACGTCATCCACTACCACAGTCAATACGTCATCCACTAACACAGTCAATATGTCAATTCACTAACACAGTCAATACGTCATCTACTTAACACAGTTAATAAGTCATCCACTAAACACAGTCAATACGTCATTCACTACCACAGTCAATACGCCGTCATTCACTAACACAGTCACACAAGTCATCCACTAACACAGTCAATAATGTCATCCATTAATCATCGAAGTCAATGACGTCATCCATTAACACAGTCAATACCGTCATCCACTAAGACAGTCAATACGTCATCCACCAACATAGTCAATATGTCATCCACTAAACACAGTCAATAATGTCATCCACTAACACAGTTAATAAGTCATCCACCAACACAGTCAATACGTCATCCACCAACACAGTTGGTCATCCATTAGCACAGTCAATGTCATCCATAACACAGTCACGGCCGTCATCCACTCGCCAACACAGTACAAGTTATCCACTCAACACAAAGTCGGGTTGGCCGTCACCACAACACAGCATTAAGTCATCTCATTAACACAAAGTCAATGGCCGTCATCTCACTAACATAGTTAATAAAAAGTCATCCGCTCAAGACAGTTAATAAGTTATCCACTAAGACAGTCAATAATGTCATCCAATCAACACAGTCAATAAGTCATCCACTAACACAGTCAATACGTCATCCACTAACACAGTTAATAAGTCATCCATTACCAGTCAATACGTCATCCACTAACACAGTTAATAAGTCATCCACTAAGACAGTTAATAATATCCACTAAGACAGTCAATGTCATCCAATCAACACAGTCAATACGTCGTCCACTAACACAGTCAATACGTCATCCACTAACACAGTCAATATCACGTCATCCACCACCGCATTTCAGTCAATACGTCATCCACCAACACAAAGTCAAAACGTCGACCACCAACAACACGTCAATACCGTCATCAACACAGTCAATACGTCATCCACTAACACACATGAAGTCATCCACCAACACAGAAGTCAATGTTCATCACTCAACACACAAACAATACGTCAATTCACTCAACACACGTCAATACGTCATCCATTAACACAGTCAATACGTCATCCACAACACAGCGGACAAGTTTCGTCCACAGACAAAGTTAATAAAAGCTATCCACTAAGACAGTCAATACGTCATCCACCAACACAGTCAATAAGTCATCCACTAACACACAGTCAATACGTCATCCACTAACACAGCAAGTCAATACGTCATCCATTAACACAGTCAATACAAGTCATCTCACTAACACAGCCAATACGTCATCCACTAACACAGTCAATACGTCATCTACTCAACACAGTCAATACGTCATCCACTAACACAGTCAATACGTCATTCACTAACACAGTCAATTATCCACCAGTTCACAGTCAATAATGTCATCCACCAACACAGTTCCACAAAGCTCATCCACTAACATGAAGTCAATAGTGTCATCCACTAACACATTCTACGTCAACTACCCTACCACAGTCACACGTTCATCCACCAACACAGTCACGATGTCATCCACCAACACAGTTAATAAGTCATCTATTGGAACACAGTCATCACGCCATCCACCAACACGTTAATAAGTCATCCACTCAAGACAGTTAATAAGTTATTCACTCAAGACAAAGTCAATACGTCATTCAATCAACACAGTCATTAAAGTCATCCACTAACACAAAGTCAATACGTCATCCACCAACACAGTTAATAGTCATCCATTAACACAAAGTCAATACGTCATCCACTCAACACAGTTAATAAGCTCATCCACTAAGACAGTTAATAAGTTATCCACTAAGACAGTCAATACGTCATCCAATCAACACATCACGTAATCCACTAACACAGTCAATACGTCATCCACTACCCGACAAAGTCAATACGTCATCCACCACAGTCAATACGTCATCCGTCAAAACGTCAGTCCACCAACACAAAGTCAATACGTCATCCACCAACAGTCAATACGTCATCCACTAACACAATAATAAGTCATCCACCAACACACAGTCAATAAGTCTGCCCACTCAACACAGTCAATACGTCATCCACTAACACAGTCAATACGTCATTCAACACAGTCAATACGTCATCCACTAACACAGTTAATAAGTCATCCACTAAGACACAGCACAAGTTATCCACTAAGACAAAGTCAATACGTCATCCACCAACACACACAAGTCATCCACTAACACAGTCAATACGTCATCCACAACACAGTCAATACGCTCAACACAGTCACGGCCGTCAATCCACTAACACAGCCAATACGTCATCCACTAACACAGTCAATACGTCATCCACTAACACAGTCAATACGTC